ACTGTTAAAATACTCTTAAAGCCTACTATTGTAAAGGCCTCTGCTAACGCCACTAAATACTATTTATATATAGCTAACGTATATAACGAGCTGAAATAAATACTAAGCCACACACCTATTCATATAGGCAGAGTGGTCTTACTTGTGACCGTTTCACCGGCACCAAACTGAAACCATGGCCAGCGTACAGGAAGACAGCCTGGCCCCCTGCCAGACAATCCAAGGCAAAAACCAGCAACCTCTTACGGATCATGGAGATGCCCCTGTACCTGAGGAAAAAATCCCTGCCATATTTTTACACAATATTTCTTCAATCCAGCCACTAGTAGAGTCTCTTAATACCATCGAGGGACTTCGGAATAAATATTCTTTAACCTGCTTAAAAGGAAACCGAATTAAACTTTTGTGTAAGGATTTACTTTCCTATCAACAGGTTTTGGCAAAATTGGAGGCGGAGAAATGCCAGACGCATACCTTCCAGCGACGCTCGGAGCGTGGATACAGGGTGGTAATTAGGCAAATCCACCACTCTACTCCCTGTGACCAGATTCGCCGCCAGCTAACTAGTATGGGCTTCTCTGTCCGGTATATCAGCAACATTAAACATCGACGTAGCCGGAAACCATTGGACCTATTTGAGGTTGAGCTAGCACCTGCTGCTGATCATGGAAATGACAAGGTTCTCAGCATCACTAGATTGGGAAACCAAGTTGTGAAAGTTGAGCGACAGCTGAGGAGACTTGAACCCGCTATGTGCCACCGCTGCCAGAAGTACGAACATACAAAGGCAAACTGCCGCAGGGACTTTGTCTGCATGAAATGTGCGGGTTCGCATGCTACTACAGATTGCTCAGAAGTAAGGGTACCAAATCCCAAGTGTGCCAACTGTGGACTGGGCCATGTCGCCAGTTACAAGGGCTGCGTGGAATACAAAAAAGCGCAGGCCCGACTCTTGGCTCACCGTGCGCATGTCGCCGTGGATACGGTACCTCAAAATAATAATATGGAGCACAGGCGGCGGGAAACTCTCAGGGTAAACTCGGGTGGCACCAGGATATACCCGGTAGAGTCTCCGCGAGTTCGTAACCCCCTCCACTGCACCCCCTCCAAAGCTACCTACAGTCAGATACTCAAGAAAAATCTCCAAAGGACGGTCCCCGCGAAAAACCCTGCGGAAAATCATTTAAAAGTTTTTCAAGCCCGCCTACAGGCGGAACAGGGCAGCCTTAGGGAAAATCCTTTCTCAACCCGTCCTAATAATTTTTCTCCCGGCAGGAAAAACAGTGCGAGGTCTCCCCCTACAACGAGTGGCAACCAGCAGCGCGGGCAGCAGCCCCATCAAAAACCCAAATCGCTGAAGGAAACCTGTTCTAGCCCTGGCTCCCCCTCACTTACTACTGAGGAAATGCTCCAGCTGGTCCAGCAAAACATGATAGCCGTGAGTGAAATGGGGAAGAAGGTAGATGCCCTCTTTAAATTAGTAAATCTCCTTATTGCCTCATCCAATGGGCAAATAAATGTTAATGAAATTTGCCATGCCTAATGCCAGAAATGTGATACTAAATCCCAGAAATTACTCAGATATTATGATTATTACTGAAATTCGCCTACATTGCAACTTTGACCCTCTTACCACCACCAATAATGAGGTCCACCTTAATGGATATGTTTTATACAGTGCCACCCACCCCACTAAAAGGAGTGGGGGTACAGCCGTTTTTATAAAATCTAACCTCAGACATATTGCTCTACAACCCATAATGGAAGACTACATTCAAAGTTGCCTGTTACTCATCACAACTGCTAATAGGGAACAGATAGTCGTTGCTCCAGTCTACTTGCCACCCCAGCACAAATGGTCAGAAGTTCACTTCAACATGTTCTTCGCTCACATGAAGAAATTATCGAATAGCTCAAAAATCATCATATGCGGGGATTGGAATGCCAAAAACCCCTGGTGGGGCTGCGTTCGATCCTGTGCAAGAGGCAGGAACCTCTTGCGTTCAATTCATTCATATAATCAGATAAACATACTGGCAACTTTCGACAGTAGGAAAATGCCATCTGCAATCGATTTTGCGGTCTATCTAGGTATACCTAGTGATAGGTTTCGCACTCACTCAGTAGTAGATCTACAATCTGACCATCTTCCTATCTTTATTGAGCTGGCTGTAGAAGGACATTTTGAAAATGGTGCTCAAAACTGTCGACTTCTGCCACCTAGGGCGAATGTTAAAAAATTTCAACGCATCCTATCTGATTCCATTCACTTAAATACAGAAATTTCATCAGGAAATGATATCGAACTTGTTATTGATTCTCTATATAATAAAATCTACTGCGCGGCTGCGGCAGCGTCCCAAAATAACTCGCGCCCAAACCTTCGACCAGGACAAATCATCCTTAGCCAGCGACTTCAACTGCAGCTAGACCAGAAAAACATTAGCAAGCAAACCTTCATGGTTAGGCCTACGCCAGAAAATCGAAGAATTTACCAACAAGCAAGTCGTACATTTTCAAAATCTGTGCAGGAAGAGAAAATCAAAATAAATAACAAGATCTTTAATAATATCAATCCTAATGATCATTATAGGATGCATAAGCTATGGAGGATAGTTAACCGGTTCAAAAGAAAACCGGAGCCTAACTGGCCTCTTAAAATACAAGAAACTAATTGTGGTGGTAATGGCAACGTTGGGGAAAACTTTGTATGGACAAATCCAAATGAGGAAAAGACTGAAGCATTTTTTAATCATCTTGAGGAAAGGTTTACACCGGCAACACTTCAGCAGCAAATTCCAACTCTAATTCGCCTTAAACAACAAGAACACGAACACGAACACGAACAGCGTAATCTACAGCAAGCACAGCTGCACATAGAACAACGTGAAAGCCAGGCTAGGCAAAAACAGGCACTAGAGTTAGCGACCGGCGTACCCCAGGAAAGGCCGTCGATGGACTGGGTCAACAACATGTCACGGTCAGTCAGGAGTGGCACGATTAGCCGTGAGGACATGGCCCATATCATCAGATTTCAGCCAGAGTACATCCAGAGGCTTATTATGAGCCCGCTACTACCATCCGAGGTCCGCACGCCAACTCCAGAGCAGCAGCTTCAGGCTGGCCTGAACAGGCTGAAACTGTACCTGGAAGAAGAACTATTAGATTCATATGATACAGATTTATCTGTGGCGGTCCAAAAAACCATGGCCGTCACCCCTAATTTTTCTCACTCAAATTTACAGGTTTCAACGAAGGTCACTCCTAGATGTTCACACACCAACAGTGATGCTGCTCCAAGATTGCCCCTCGACCAAATCATTGACGGCGCTAATCCGGATCCCTTGGAATCGTCGGCAGCAACTGATGTGGCTGTGCTACTCACTCCTGGTGTGAGAGAAGAGTATCACCAAATTGTTCCACCCTCGCCCACTATTCATCACCAAGCTGCAGCTCCAAGCGTTCTTGAAGCCTTTATAGCTCGCCCGCTGTCTGGGACAACGGAAATGGGGCCAAACTGGACTCATCACACACAGGAACTGCGACAAACTACTCTTCAACAGCTGACTGCAATCTCCCTTGGTACTGGATTCTATGCTCCGAAATCTGCTGCCGCCAAAAACAATAGCAGCGCTAGCCCGGACTCTCCAAACTCATCAGCTGAATCAGGTACAGCTGCGGGCTCCAGCTCCAACGCAGACAAGCGGTCAAATCTGCAGATAGACGAGATACTTCCACCTGGCGAGGGAGAAAAGACTTTAATTAGTAACATGCGACCACACGTACAAAAACGCACTGTTTACAACGACACTCCAGTTTCTGCACCTCTGGACTCCTTGGGCAGTACTGCTGAATGCTCTACAACTGGTTTGCCCCGAGCTGACTTTACTGGATCCTCCGCGGCCACTGGTTCGGGCTGTTCTGAAGACGCAAAAGAACTGGTCTCCACTACATCCTTGATTAGTGCCTCCTGCTCTCACGAGTTCTTATCATATCCAGCTGGACCAGCTCCTTCTGCCACTGCTCCCTTGGGGTCAGTGTGCATCCAGTATTCACAGCAAACTCGATGGCAAATTAGCCAACAACCGACGGTGGACTCTCCTGAAGTTGGCGTCGCTAATCTACAGCTGGCTGTATCCAACCACATTAATCCGGACTCTCCAGAGGCTTTGAATGAGGCTGACACGTGCTGCAACAACCACCCCTAGTACGAGAGGAAAAGACTTGTAAGTTACAGCGTGCAAAAACTCTGACGATACTTTCTCCCCTGTGGATTGGAAACTTGCTGCTACTTAACTTCGCCGACTCCGCTGGCTGGTACACCTCCATCGACACTGGACGCCTTCCTGTGGATGCGGCAACTCCAAATCCTGTTGGCAGAAAGCCGCGAAATACCTGAAAAGAAAATTTTTATTAGCAAACTTGTAAATTCTAAAAATGTAAACAAACCAGCCATGCTGGCTTTTTTCGATTGTCATGCCGCGATATCGGGTCACTAAAGCCACTATCGATATTCGCGGCAGTGACTCTTGACATCGATACTCAGGCAATTTTGGTCACACCTCACAGTTAACAGTTCCTATAAGAATATTTCGATAGTAATAATTTGTCGCGTTTAGTCACAATTCCATGTATTTAAAACCTGTTAAAACATTCAGCATTTATTTCTTATGTTAACACTGTTAAACAAAGCTCTTAAAGCCTACTATTTCCATAAGAATATTTCGATAGCGATAAATTGTCGCGTTTAGTCACAGTTCCAAGTATTTTAAAAAACCTGTTAACATACTCAGTATTTATTTTTAAGATATTTTTATGCTACTACTGTTAAAATACTCTTAAAGCCTACTATTGTAAAGGCCTCTGCTAACGCCACTAAATACTATTTATATATAGCTAACGTATATAACGAGCTGAAATAAATACTAAGCCACACACCTATTCATATAGGCAGAGTGGTCTTACTTGTGACCGTTCCACCGGCACCAAACTGAAAAAACTTCGCCGACTCCGCTGGCTGGTACACCTCCATCGACACTGGACGCCTTCCTGTGGATGCGGCAACTCCAAATCCTGTTGGCAGAAAGCCGCGAAATACCTGAAAAGAAAATTTTTATTAGCAAACTTGTAAATTCTAAAAATGTAAACAAACCAGCCATGCTGGCTTTTTTCGATTGTCATGCCGCGATATCGGGTCACTAAAGCCACTATCGATATTCGCGGCAGTGACTCTTGACATCGATACTCAGGCATTTTTGGTCACACCTCACAGTTAACAGTTCCTATAAGAATATTTCGATAGTAATAATTTGTCGCGTTTAGTCACAATTCCATGTATTTAAAACCTGTTAAAACATTCAGCATTTATTTCTTATGTTAACACTGTTAAACAAAGCTCTTAAAGCCTACTATTTCCATAAGAATATTTCGATAGCGATAAATTGTCGCGTTTAGTCACAGTTCCAAGTATTTTAAAAAACCTGTTAACATACTCAGTATTTATTTTTAAGATATTTTTATGTTACTACTGTTAAAATACTCTTAAAGCCAACTATTGTAAAGGCCTCTGCTAACGCCACTAAATACTATTTATATATAGCTAACGTATATAACGAGCTGAAATAAATACTAAGCCACACACCTATTCATATAGGCAGAGTGGTCTTACTTGTGACCGTTTCACCGGCACCAAACTGAAAAAGAGGCAGCTTGGCTGGGTGGACCACTTCCTGCGAATCCTGATGACGGTGATTGCGGATGGAGACGAAACTATGATCGAGACGGCTGCGATGGACGAACCTTCAATAAATAAATAAATAAAAATTAAAAATAAATGCGCAATAAACAAATCTAAAACATAAACGTAACTGACACAAATGCGATCCAGCAACCATCAAAAACAAACTTCGCTGCGCCTGCAAAATAATAAAAACAAAAATGTTAACAACATTCAATTAACAATTTTAAACTAAAAGCCACTTACCTGCCACAAATGGTATCCTGGCTCCTGACAAGCAAGAAGATGACTCGCGATGGACAGCTGCAAGAAATAAAAATTATATAAGTAAATGCGCAATAATTAAAATCAAAAACATAAACACATCCGTCAACAAACATCCGCTGCGACTGCCTCAACTTACCTGACACAAACGCACTGCGGATCCGGCCAAATTTGACTTCTGAGAAAAACACAGAAACAAAACAAAACAAAAGCACACTCACCTGACCCAAGCTTCTCTCGGCCACTGGCAAAACACACTGACTGCGGCGTGGGAAGGACTGCGGCGTGGGAAGGACTGCGACGTGGGACGCGACTGCGGCGGGGGAACTGACTGCGGCGAGGGAGTATACTGCGGCGATAAATTAGATGGCGAGAAATGTTACTGCGGGAAAAGAAAGCACGCCTAAATTATTACCACCAATGTTTACATTAAATAACAGTGTGACCCTCAACCTAAAATCCCAAATGTAACCCAAAATATACTAACCTAGCTTTAAGCTTAAATATAGCTAAAAAAAAAAAATAGACATAATACACTAACACATAAAAATGCAATGTACATACTATTTCCCGCCATTTAATGTACCTAAATATTACAATACATGTAATCAGAGGGCAATAAATATAACGACCAGGGAATTCTGATCAACAGTCTTCTCCTGAGTGTCGTTGAGTAAACTTGAAAAAATCAACAGTCTTCTCCTGAGTGTCGTTGAGTAAACTTGAAAAAAGCCGCCATACGCTTGTTTTGGTCAAACTGCAAAGGAACAGAAAACATAATCAGAACAACTCTGAACAAAATTGTAATTAAAATCATAAAGACAACTATTACCTACTCTACCTTCCTGCTCAAATCCTCGCCTCGACGCAGCAAATCCTGCATGCTACCCAGAAACCAGCCACTCCTGCCTTGCGTTTCTTTACTGGACCTGATGGATGCCACAGATCCGTTTTGGCCATGCTGAAAAGGAATATTAACACATATTAACACAACTAAAATCCCATTGCACGAAAACTACAATCAACACCATAAAATCAACTTTAAAACTTATCTACGCTCCTGCCAATCCTCTCGCCTCGGTTGAGTAGCAAATCCCGATGCAACCCGAGACGCTAGCTACTCCTACTCCATTTGTATTCGATGGCCGCCACAGCAAATCCTGATGCAACCCGCGCCGCCAGCTACTCCTACTCCATTTGGATTCGATGGCCGCCACAACAAATCCTGATGCAACCCGCGACGCCAGCTACTCCTACTCCATTTGGATTTGATGACCGCCACAGGTCCGATTTGGCCATCCTGAAATGTAAGAATAAAACACAGTTAAAGCATCTTCAATGCAATTAAAACCATAATTTTGACCTACAAACCTAAAACTGCAGCATAAATTTCCCAAGCTACAAATGTAAACAATAGGCACGGCACTGCCAGCCCAAAATTTATTAACAGGTTGCTGTTGCCTATTGGTATTTTAAAAAACTGTTGAACGGTCACTATTCCCGAGCATGCAAATCTAGTATTTTTATTCTCTGTTAATGTTAAACCAATGTAAACTCATTAAAGCTAGCTATTTTCTAGCCTCTGCATATATTTTAGCCACTATGTATATTTGTATAAACATATGTAAACTCATGTACACAAATAAAATCAGCCGCAACGCTCATTCTGCGCCGGCTTTACTAAGTGCATACACGCACTCCTCTGAAAAAAAAACAAAAAACAAACATGAAATAAAAAAGCATAAATTAAATTACAGCCGAAATAAATTTAAAACAATTATGCACTAATTTGCCTCAGCCAATGGATTCCTACCTGGTCCAAGCCAAGACGACTGCGGCGGGAGATTTTTCCAGCCTTACTGGTCCGTCACATTCCAGCTGGACGTGCACTGGATCCAGCAATGTCCTTCTCCAAAGCCAGCCAAGGTCGGCCTGGCTGGGTGGAACATTTCCTGCGGTTCCTGTTGGTTGTGACTGCGGCGGGGGATTTTCTCCATCCTTACTGCCAGCTTAGGACAGCCTGGCTGGGAGGATCGTTCCTGCGATTCCTGATGACTGAGACCGCGGATGGGGACGAGGAGGCGGTTGTGACGGCTGCGATGGATGAACCTGCAAGAAAACAAAAAACAAACATGAAATAAAAAAGCATAAATTAAATTACAGCCGAAATAAATTTAAAACAATTATGCACTAATTTGCCTCAGCCAATGGATTCCTACCTGGTCCAAGCCAAGACGACTGCGGCGGGAGATTTTTCCAGCCTTACTGGTCCGTCACATTCCAGCTGGACGTGCACTGGATCCAGCAATGTCCTTCTCCAAAGCCAGCCAAGGTCGGCCTGGCTGGGTGGAACATTTCCTGCGGTTCCTGTTGGTTGTGACTGCGGCGGGGGATTTTCTCCATCCTTACTGCCAGCTTAGGACAGCCTGGCTGGGAGGATCGTTCCTGCGATTCCTGATGACTGAGACCGCGGATGGGGACGAGGAGGCGGTTGTGACGGCTGCGATGGATGAACCTGCAAGAAAACAAAAAACAAACATGAAATAAAAAAGCATAAATTAAATTACAGCCGAAATAAATTTAAAACAATTATGCACTAATTTGCCTCAGCCAATGGATTCCTACCTGGTCCAAGCCAAGACGACTGCGGCGGGAGATTTTTCCAGCCTTACTGGTCCGTCACATTCCAGCTGGACGTGCACTGGATCCAGCAATGTCCTTCTCCAAAGCCAGCCAAGGTCGGCCTGGCTGGGTGGAACATTTCCTGCGGTTCCTGTTGGTTGTGACTGCGGCGGGGGATTTTCTCCATCCTTACTGCCAGCTTAGGACAGCCTGGCTGGGAGGATCGTTCCTGCGATTCCTGATGACTGAGACCGCGGATGGGGACGAGGAGGCGGTTGTGACGGCTGCGATGGATGAACCTGCAAGAAAACAAAAAACAAACATGAAATAAAAAAGCATAAATTAAATTACAGCCGAAATAAATTTAAAACAATTATGCACTAATTTGCCTCAGCCAATGGATTCCTACCTGGTCCAAGCCAAGACGACTGCGGCGGGAGATTTTTCCAGCCTTACTGGTCCGTCACATTCCAGCTGGACGTGCACTGGATCCAGCAATGTCCTTCTCCAAAGCCAGCCAAGGTCGGCCTGGCTGGGTGGAACATTTCCTGCGGTTCCTGTTGGTTGTGACTGCGGCGGGGGATTTTCTCCATCCTTACTGCCAGCTTAGGACAGCCTGGCTGGGAGGATCGTTCCTGCGATTCCTGATGACTGAGACCGCGGATGGGGACGAGGAGGCGGTTGTGACGGCTGCGATGGATGAACCTGCAAGAAAACAAAAAACAAACATGAAATAAAAAAGCATAAATTAAATTACAGCCGAAATAAATTTAAAACAATTATGCACTAATTTGCCTCAGCCAATGGATTCCTACCTGGTCCAAGCCAAGACGACTGCGGCGGGAGATTTTTCCAGCCTTACTGGTCCGTCACATTCCAGCTGGACGTGCACTGGATCCAGCAATGTCCTTCTCCAAAGCCAGCCAAGGTCGGCCTGGCTGGGTGGAACATTTCCTGCGGTTCCTGTTGGTTGTGACTGCGGCGGGGGATTTTCTCCATCCTTACTGCCAGCTTAGGACAGCCTGGCTGGGAGGATCGTTCCTGCGATTCCTGATGACTGAGACCGCGGATGGGGACGAGGAGGCGGTTGTGACGGCTGCGATGGATGAACCTGCAAGAAAACAAAAAACAAACATGAAATAAAAAAGCATAAATTAAATTACAGCCGAAATAAATTTAAAACAATTATGCACTAATTTGCCTCAGCCAATGGATTCCTACCTGGTCCAAGCCAAGACGACTGCGGCGGGAGATTTTTCCAGCCTTACTGGTCCGTCACATTCCAGCTGGACGTGCACTGGATCCAGCAATGTCCTTCTCCAAAGCCAGCCAAGGTCGGCCTGGCTGGGTGGAACATTTCCTGCGGTTCCTGTTGGTTGTGACTGCGGCGGGGGATTTTCTCCATCCTTACTGCCAGCTTAGGACAGCCTGGCTGGGAGGATCGTTCCTGCGATTCCTGATGACTGAGACCGCGGATGGGGACGAGGAGGCGGTTGTGACGGCTGCGATGGATGAACCTGCAAGAAAACAAAAAACAAACATGAAATAAAAAAGCATAAATTAAATTACAGCCGAAATAAATTTAAAACAATTATGCACTAATTTGCCTCAGCCAATGGATTCCTACCTGGTCCAAGCCAAGACGACTGCGGCGGGAGATTTTTCCAGCCTTACTGGTCCGTCACATTCCAGCTGGACGTGCACTGGATCCAGCAATGTCCTTCTCCAAAGCCAGCCAAGGTCGGCCTGGCTGGGTGGAACATTTCCTGCGGTTCCTGTTGGTTGTGACTGCGGCGGGGGATTTTCTCCATCCTTACTGCCAGCTTAGGACAGCCTGGCTGGGAGGATCGTTCCTGCGATTCCTGATGACTGAGACCGCGGATGGGGACGAGGAGGCGGTTGTGACGGCTGCGATGGATGAACCTGCAAGAAAACAAAAAACAAACATGAAATAAAAAAGCATAAATTAAATTACAGCCGAAATAAATTTAAAACAATTATGCACTAATTTGCCTCAGCCAATGGATTCCTACCTGGTCCAAGCCAAGACGACTGCGGCGGGAGATTTTTCCAGCCTTACTGGTCCGTCACATTCCAGCTGGACGTGCACTGGATCCAGCAATGTCCTTCTCCAAAGCCAGCCAAGGTCGGCCTGGCTGGGTGGAACATTTCCTGCGGTTCCTGTTGGTTGTGACTGCGGCGGGGGATTTTCTCCATCCTTACTGCCAGCTTAGGACAACCTGGCTGGGAGGATCGTTCCTGCGATTCCTGATGACTGAGACCGCGGATGGGGACGAGGAGGCGGTTGTGACGGCTGCGATGGATGAACCTGCAAGAAAACAAAAAACAAACATGAAATAAAAAAGCATAAATTAAATTACAGCCGAAATAAATTTAAAACAATTATGCACTAATTTGCCTCAGCCAATGGATTCCTACCTGGTCCAAGCCAAGACGACTGCGGCGGGAGATTTTTCCAGCCTTACTGGTCCGTCACATTCCAGCTGGACGTGCACTGGATCCAGCAATGTCCTTCTCCAAAGCCAGCCAAGGTCGGCCTGGCTGGGTGGAACATTTCCTGCGGTTCCTGTTGGTTGTGACTGCGGCGGGGGATTTTCTCCATCCTTACTGCCAGCTTAGGACAGCCTGGCTGGGAGGATCGTTCCTGCGATTCCTGATGACTGAGACCGCGGATGGGGACGAGGAGGCGGTTGTGACGGCTGCGATGGATGAACCTGCAAGAAAACAAAAAACAAACATGAAATAAAAAAGCATAAATTAAATTACAGCCGAAATAAATTTAAAACAATTATGCACTAATTTGCCTCAGCCAATGGATTCCTACCTGGTCCAAGCCAAGACGACTGCGGCGGGAGATTTTTCCAGCCTTACTGGTCCGTCACATTCCAGCTGGACGTGCACTGGATCCAGCAATGTCCTTCTCCAAAGCCAGCCAAGGTCGGCCTGGCTGGGTGGAACATTTCCTGCGGTTCCTGTTGGTTGTGACTGCGGCGGGGGATTTTCTCCATCCTTACTGCCAGCTTAGGACAGCCTGGCTGGGAGGATCGTTCCTGCGATTCCTGATGACTGAGACCGCGGATGGGGACGAGGAGGCGGTTGTGACGGCTGCGATGGATGAACCTGCAAGAAAACAAAAAACAAACATGAAATAAAAAAGCATAAATTAAATTACAGCCGAAATAAATTTAAAACAATTATGCACTAATTTGCCTCAGCCAATGGATTCCTACCTGGTCCAAGCCAAGACGACTGCGGCGGGAGATTTTTCCAGCCTTACTGGTCCGTCACATTCCAGCTGGACGTGCACTGGATCCAGCAATGTCCTTCTCCAAAGCCAGCCAAGGTCGGCCTGGCTGGGTGGAACATTTCCTGCGGTTCCTGTTGGTTGTGACTGCGGCGGGGGATTTTCTCCATCCTTACTGCCAGCTTAGGACAGCCTGGCTGGGAGGATCGTTCCTGCGATTCCTGATGACTGAGACCGCGGATGGGGACGAGGAGGCGGTTGTGACGGCTGCGATGGATGAACCTGCAAGAAAACAAAAAACAAACATGAAATAAAAAAGCATAAATTAAATTACAGCCGAAATAAATTTAAAACAATTATGCACTAATTTGCCTCAGCCAATGGATTCCTACCTGGTCCAAGCCAAGACGACTGCGGCGGGAGATTTTTCCAGCCTTACTGGTCCGTCACATTCCAGCTGGACGTGCACTGGATCCAGCAATGTCCTTCTCCAAAGCCAGCCAAGGTCGGCCTGGCTGGGTGGAACATTTCCTGCGGTTCCTGTTGGTTGTGACTGCGGCGGGGGATTTTCTCCATCCTTACTGCCAGCTTAGGACAGCCTGGCTGGGAGGATCGTTCCTGCGATTCCTGATGACTGAGACCGCGGATGGGGACGAGGAGGCGGTTGTGACGGCTGCGATGGATGAACCTGCAAGAAAACAAAAAACAAACATGAAATAAAAAAGCATAAATTAAATTACAGCCGAAATAAATTTAAAACAATTATGCACTAATTTGCCTCAGCCAATGGATTCCTACCTGGTCCAAGCCAAGACGACTGCGGCGGGAGATTTTTCCAGCCTTACTGGTCCGTCACATTCCAGCTGGACGTGCACTGGATCCAGCAATGTCCTTCTCCAAAGCCAGCCAAGGTCGGCCTGGCTGGGTGGAACATTTCCTGCGGTTCCTGTTGGTTGTGACTGCGGCGGGGGATTTTCTCCATCCTTACTGCCAGCTTAGGACAGCCTGGCTGGGAGGATCGTTCCTGCGATTCCTGATGACTGAGACCGCGGATGGGGACGAGGAGGCGGTTGTGACGGCTGCGATGGATGAACCTGCAAGAAAACAAAAAACAAACATGAAATAAAAAAGCATAAATTAAATTACAGCCGAAATAAATTTAAAACAATTATGCACTAATTTGCCTCAGCCAATGGATTCCTACCTGGTCCAAGCCAAGACGACTGCGGCGGGAGATTTTTCCAGCCTTACTGGTCCGTCACATTCCAGCTGGACGTGCACTGGATCCAGCAATGTCCTTCTCCAAAGCCAGCCAAGGTCGGCCTGGCTGGGTGGAACATTTCCTGCGGTTCCTGTTGGTTGTGACTGCGGCGGGGGATTTTCTCCATCCTTACTGCCAGCTTAGGACAGCCTGGCTGGGAGGATCGTTCCTGCGATTCCTGATGACTGAGACCGCGGATGGGGACGAGGAGGCGGTTGTGACGGCTGCGATGGATGAACCTGCAAGAAAACAAAAAACAAACATGAAATAAAAAAGCATAAATTAAATTACAGCCGAAATAAATTTAAAACAATTATGCACTAATTTGCCTCAGCCAATGGATTCCTACCTGGTCCAAGCCAAGACGACTGCGGCGGGAGATTTTTCCAGCCTTACTGGTCCGTCACATTCCAGCTGGACGTGCACTGGATCCAGCAATGTCCTTCTCCAAAGCCAGCCAAGGTCGGCCTGGCTGGGTGGAACATTTCCTGCGGTTCCTGTTGGTTGTGACTGCTGACCAGGATGCCGAAAGCCGATGCAATGGATTCCTACAAGGACCTCGGGTTACGACTGCAGCGAGTGATACCATCCACATACACTCACAGGCGCGCACGCTTGCATTCCAAAACTGAAAAAAAAAGAAAAAGAAAAGCACAAATTAAATTACAGCCGAATTAAACTCACTACAATCTTCCACTTATCTGACTCAGCCAAATTTAAAACAATTATGCACTAATCTGCCCCAGCCGAAGGACTCCTTTCCGGTTCAAAGAAAGGCGACGGCGGCGGGGTATCTTTATCCTTACTGGTACCACAAATTCCGGCTGTGACATTTCAGTACCGCTTCTCGATCGAGACTGCCTGATCTATCAATCAGAGCTCCCTTTTATACAAATTGGTCAACACCCTCTTGTTCACATACTTTACCAAATACCATATGGCCGTCTCTTTTACTCGCACCATGTCACAGCGAGACTGCACATAACGGACCTCCGTTAGGCTCAACGCAACACTAACACACAGAAACTCATATAAAGAAAGGAATGCGAAGGGAGGAATAACAAGCAACGAGTAGCATTCATAACATAAGCTTCAATTCTAAGTAAAAATGTAATTCCAAGTAAGTCAGCATTTCATGTTCATTCTTATTTTAATAGCGTTATACCACGAAAACAAAACTAAAGGTCCGACATATTCTTAATCAGTCCCCAGGCAACTACGACTTTTCGTCAATCCGTTTTTGCGTTCGTTTCTACGCAAACTAGTCTTTCAGTTTAAAAGCTACCTAGATGAATGTCGTTTTTCTATTGCGGGTTGTTTATAAGCGGGTACGGGCTGGATTGGCCGACTATATCATATATCTCCCATATAAATAATCAGAAAATTAAATGAAGCAAACTATAAATTAATTATTAAGTCTACGTACCATCATTGTTATTAGAAATATACGCACAAAAATCGAAATCTAGTCTTGTTATAGAATATTTTATTTGTTCAGTACTTGCAAGGGTATACAAATTTTTATATTTTGCTGGTTTTTTATAACTTGGTTCGGGCCGGATTGGCAGACTAAATCATATAGAGCCCTTATAAATAATCAGATAATTAAATGAACCAAACTATACCCTCCTTGATTTAAATTTTATAAGAACATGCTCCGGGATATGGTTTTCTATTTTACAACTACGGTTTAGTTTTATAAATTCAGACAAAGTATAGCTGCCATAGGAACGATAAAAAAATGAATTTAAAATCTACGTACCTTCATTGTTATTAAAAATATACGCATAAAAACTGAAATCTAGTCTTTGGTTTTGGTGTTATGTATATTTTTTGGTGTTATATTTTTGCAAAGTTTTTTTGCAGTATATTTTGGGGAATATTTGACTTACAGAAGAGTTAACTACTGTTCCCTACGACTGACGGCCCTACTCAAAGGTCCTTTTATTATGTTTTATCCATATAAAAGTTCTCGTTCTAACATAAATTTAATCGTAAAATGTTTGGTTTACCTCTTATATAAATATAGTGTGGTTGCGTATATTGGGATAGTTTTGGGATGCGATATTATGGAATTGTGTAATCAACTCTAAGCTAAACCGTCAAGTTCAGAACCAATAAAAAAAAAAACGTAGACTTATATGGTATGTGGACGTTATTATTATGTGGATGTAAAACTCGGTCGTTCTGCAGCATTTTCTATAAAAAAAACAAACACAATAAAAGCGAGCAGGCCATCGCGGAGTCAAGTTCACACTGAAATCAAACTGTAAGAACATAAGAAATAGAAATTACTGGAAGTTGCGGGGACTGCAATGGCGTCCCAATCAGTATTTAAACTATGACAAATATTGTTATTATTTTAATTATTTTGTACGAAAACATCGAATTTTTCAACCATTGAGGAAACTTACATTTCTGTTAAGAAATTTCTGTTAGGAATCATAGTTCTCAACCACCCAAGTTTTCAACCTGGTACGCTATGTGTAAGGTTCTCAAGATCGGCCTGCAATGTTAAATAGCCGACTAACAAAAATGTTAAATCATTGATTTTCTAACATAAATGTTAATGTCTTATTTACATTTTTCATTTCTGTAGAAAAAAACGAAGATGATGAAAGTTAACAAAGTATTAACATTTCTGTTAGGAAAAGGGTAAGCAATGGGCAGGGCTGCGGCCGAGGGAAGGCAAAGTAGAGATGGGAAAACATCGATGTTCCCTTCCAAAACATCGATAAGACCGCAAACGATTAATTTTTGTTGCTGTTACCGTTTCACTCTAGCTCTAGCCTGGTTTCACTCCATTTCGTGCATGCCCTCTATTAAAGTTCTAGGCTTCTGCCTTAATGAAATCATAACTTAAAACTAATAATAAAAAAAAATGTGAACAATGTTTTTAAATCTAAAAACAATAAAGTTTTAATAATTATAATAGTAAAAATGTGTTCTCTTTTTAACTAAGCATTATACTTAATTAATTATTGCGCACTCAAAATAATTATTGATTGGCGCATAAGTGGACATGGCATTTGAAAACTTCTTCAACAAGGCTGGGGAGACCAAACCGTTTTCAAAAAAGACCAAAGATCCCTGTATACAAAAAATGTTTTGTGCTAGAAAATCCAGCAGGACCATGTTTGCTGTGTTTGCTCTTGTTTTGTCATTTTTTGCAAAATAGATTTATGTTCGATAGAAATAAAAAATGACGCCATCGTTGCTTATAGAAGCCAGCTGTTGTTGTGGTGGCACTAACAAAATATTATTAAATAATGGCGTTTTTAGTAGTTTTATTTAAAACCTTCGGGCAAATGGCTTGTAGTTGTATTTCATTTTCAAACGAGCATTAGACTTAATGCGTTTTAAAGTGCCAATGGAGTCCGGATATCACCTTTAGGGGGTATATTGTTCATAACTACATTGGTCACCCTTATTTTTAAAAACATCGATAACATCAATGGCATCGAAGTTTTCCCATCTCTACAGAGTCGGTCGTCAAGCATTCAAAAGTAACTGAAACGAAGAAAACGGAGAACCGAAGCGGAAATTACGGAAAGAAAAACCCTGCGGACTGTAAACTGTGAGCGTGGAGTAGAAAAAATAAATTAAATTCGACAAATCGTTGGAGCTTGAGTGCTGTGCTGAACAAGTGGAAGGAAGGACAGTCAAAAATTCCAGTTCCTTTTTTACGTCTCTCTTTCTCACCGCCCGTGTGTGAGAGAGCAAGTGTGACTGTGTGAGTGCGAGAATCTGCAAGAAAGGCAACGCCAAAAAGGGAGAAATCGAGAAATAAAACTCAGACGTGTGAATCACAAGCTGAATCATCTCACAGCAATAGCTGCTTCTGTTGGCCGAATAAGTAATTGCAGACGAATACTTGATTATGGAGCACCACGAGGACAACGCTCAGTTTGACAACTACTTGCAGAACCGCTTGGCCGAGAGTCTGCAACTTTCCGGGGGCGCCGGCGAGCAGCATCTTAATTTGGCCGACACTGCCCAAGAAGAACACTCCGCTCCTGGCATCGCGTCCTCGAAATCGGATCAACGGGCTGGCGATGGCGATGATGACGAGGAGTGGAAGTACATTCACGAGGTGCAGCAGACCGAGAAGCTGCAACATCAGCAGCTATCGCTGGAAACTGGCAACGGATTCGGTGGCGGCCGACAGTCTGAGGATTTAATCCTGGGAAACGGTGCCGCCGCTGGTTTTACTCTGGCCTACGAGGAGGAGGATGTAGAAGTTATTAAGAACGATGGTGACTTTTCCACGAATTCCAACACCACGACTTCCACGGGAGAAGTGCCGGCCCAGGATCAGCAGCATCCCAAGAAGGCAGATCCGTTGGCGGAACGGCATCAACAACAGCAGATGCAGTCCCAAGATCAAGAGGACGAGGATGAGCTAAGCTCTGTGGCCACCACTTACGGAACCAGCAGTCTCAGCGAGAATAATCCCACACCCTTGGAGCAGGAGGAGATAGTGCTGGAGCCCCAGCCAGTTGTCCAAGAATTGCTGCAGGGCTCGGACAACAAGGAAAACTGTGATTTTGTACAGGAAGTGGAGGAAAACCACTCCCAGTTGAATCCCAATGCTGTTGCTTTTATCCCTAGCACTGGCTCCCAGCCCTCGTCTCCTCTTTCCGCCGTGGAGGAACCCCTACTCGGCTTGCCTGCCCGCCAGCTGCTGGCTGTTGGCACCTTGGACGATCTGGTGGCGGAGAGTCCCCGCAAGGGCTCCGCCAGGGAAAACATGGATGCTATTGCAGTGCCCGATGAACGGGAATTTGACATTGAGGCAGATAAAAGACCCCACGAACTGGAGCAGGAATCGGATATTTTTAACGCAGGACACTTAGAGATGCAGCTGCTGAATGGTGTAGGATCCGCTGAACCAGCCGCCTCAACGGATGTCCTGGATCACGGTCCGGAGACTAGTGTCGATTTGGACTTGTCACTAGATCAGTTGCCCGCCGGCGGCGACATCGTAAAGCAACCGCTTTATGTGGACAACAACGCCTCCATTGAAGATATACTAAATTCCGTGCAACCCTTGCCAACTCAGGTTGGTGACGAAAAGGAGCTGCTACATGTAGAAGAGAAGGAGCTTGTTTCGCAGTCGCCTTCTATTGAGGAGCTCCAATTCCAGCAGGAGTTCCAGCCAGAGCATGATCGACAGGGATTGTTTAATAACTCTGACCAGGATCTCATGCAGGCTTCTTTTTACTTGGAGCATACGTCCATTGAAGCCCAAAATGACGATAAGTTTGAGCTGGAGCAGCTCCCTGGCGAGAGCTCCGAAATGTTTACCAACCATAACTTGCTGATGAGCGACACCGTGCAGCAAACCGTACTAAGTCGGAATTCAAATTTCTTTGGGTCTTCTGAACTGGTAAGCTAAAAATAATAGGAAATGCCAGAAGTAAGTATGTACCTGCTACCCCCCTAATGACCATAAAAATGGGTTGCGCTCGATTTATCGCTTTTGTTGCACTCAAAACTTTTATCCTTTTCTCGCTTGTTTTTGTATTTTGTCTTCGCTTTTCACCTGGACACCGGCGTAAAAAATAATCATTAAATTTGTTGGTATACACCTTTGTCTCTGCTCCTGATGTGCATATGCTCCCGCCACTCCTTAGATTCGCAAATCCTCCCCTCATTGACTGTTCTCTTTTCCGTAGCTATGGGTTAACTTCTATAAATATAAAAGTCTTTGTGTCAAAAAATAGAAAACGTATGCTACTTTGGTTTACTTGTAATTCTAGGGAAAATTTAATTAAGTGTTCTTAGTTATTGTATTTTTCTGTATCGTTTCAGTTATAAAAGTCCTAATTAAAAAAATTTTTGTTTTTGTTGTTTATTAAAGCAAACATAAAACAGAATTTGGCTAATAATGAATTCCCATAAATAATGAAAAATTAATGCTATTTTAAAATAAAGTTTTCAATATTAAATTTTCATATGTTTACTACTGTGCACTCAAAGAACTGCTGCTATCTTTCAAACAAGTTAAAATTTGATGAATCAATCGTGACGTTAAATTTGTGTGTGCTAGTCAGTTGTCTAACATCTATACTGTGTTAATGAAACTAAATTTAAAAAACGACATATCGTACTGCTCTTGAGCTAAAGTCCGTCTTTTGTAACTTATTCATTTATTTTGTTTGCTAAATACATTTAACCTTGGACCTACAGAGGCAACAAACGTTAAGAAGAATTCTATTAAAAATCATTTTAAAAAACAGCAATAATAATCTCTGATTTTAGCTAATGTTACCATAAACTAGTAACGGAAAAACGAAAAATTCAAGTTTTATTTATGGTAACATAAAAAAAATGTAAGCCAGTTTTTATTTTTACCAGCATGAGTTTTCTTTGGGACCTTAGTGTAATGTATTGAGTATTTTTTCATGCTACGCTCTCTCTTTCTTCGTTGCATTAGGGTGGGGTCGTTTTTGTTGCCTGCTTGACTGTCACTCATTTCATACACAAAAAGGGCAGGAGTATTGGGTACACTGTTGTTTTGAAGGTTATGTGTTGGTAGTTGTCCTTTTACTTTTGAAAAGGTAAACTATAAAGTTACTGTATACTTGTTTTGGCGAAAAAATATAATAGTGCTCAAATTAAAAAAAGGTAACTTTTTTAATTTTTGTTACTTGTTTGTTGCTTTTTATTTAGCATTTTTTAAAATGACGCAAACTCGCCTTAGAGTAATTCTAATCAAAATGAATAGAAATTTTACAAAATATAATAAATACCCAGTATTTCCGACTTTTCGTTCGTGACATCCGTTCTTATTGGGTTTGAGTTGCATTGAGTTGCGGTCAATGATTCTTGTATGTACTCCAATGAAACTTGGCCCTCTCTGTAGTTCCTTCTCTTCTCGTTCTCTTTTGCTTTCCGTCTGCAATCTGCATGAGCAGAACCAACAAAAATAACAGTAAATGGCATGGCCAACTGCGGCAAGAGTTGGCAATCTTTTCGCTTCGTTGCAAATTCCAGCTCCAACGCACACACACAGACACGCTTTCATAATTACAACAGCAACAACAACTGCACAGATAAACAGAGATAGACGGTTTAAAACAGATAGGTGCAAAGAAGTAGGAGAGAGTGGACGGTTTTAACTTTGGGCTTACTTAATTGGGTCACACATGTACACCGTTATTACTATGCACGTGTACTTTTATACACTTGCAGAAGTTTGCAACGCAGTGAAGGAGACATTCCCCGACCCTATAAAGTGTATATATTCTTGATCAGCATCACTAGGAGACTCGATGTCCGTCCGTTTCTACGTAAACTAGTCTCTCAGTTTTAAAACTAACTAACTTCAATGTTATTTAAAGGGTACTCATATAATTCAATATTTAGATGTTTTAAAGAGTTTTCTTTTATTTTTGCAAAATCTGCAAGGGTATATAAACTTTGGCTTGCCGAAGCTTGCTTCCTTTCTTGATAGAAATGTTGTTGTTGTGATTTGTCCCTAACTTTTTTATGCTACCACTTTTGATGGAAGTTTGACTTCTGACTTCTGTAAAATTTAAGTAAATCTTACAACAAAGTGCACATAAATATGAGTTTTTTGAAATAAATTAAATTTGCTCATTAACCTTTGTTGTGTAAAATTAATGTACATCCTACAAAAAAGTGCTCCAAAAATATGAGTTTCTTCAAATAAATTAATATTAATTAAAATTGCCCATTAAGCTTTATTTTGAATTACAAAATAAATTATTTAAATTCGAACATTTAAAAAAAAATTAAAAAATAAATGTAGTTCGTAGTGTAATTATGTTTTAATATATATTGAAAAATAAACAATGTTAAAATTTGTCTAATTTTTTTCCTTTTTTTCTACGTCCCGGTCCGACTACTTACCGCAATAGAAATAGGTCCTTTTTTGAAATTTTCAATTATTTATCTTTAAATCTTATTAAAAACTAGTAAGAAAATTTTTTTTTCCATAACAGATATTTTAGCGACTTCTAAAATTATGAGTCGTTTTAGTTAAATACCAATTATGTATTGCTGTATATTCATAAACAATAAAATACTACGGGAAAATTAGCGTTTCATAAACATTGTCACCGACTTTACTAACAAACAAGAAAACAACAAGAAATTTTCAGTCAGAGTCATTACCAAAGAAAAACACAAGACCATTAAGAATATTCAAGTGTTTTGGGTAGTGTCAAGTGGTCATTTCATTGTAATTGCTTGATTTAATTAATTAATTTATTTGATTGTTTGTCTTAAAAATCAATTTAGTAGAATTGGGTGAGTAATTTTTAATAAAAAAAATCTTATAAACAAAAACACTAACTTTCACTAAGTTAAATGAAAAATTTTTTACAAAAACATTTTGCTAGAAGCATGTATTGCAATCTTTTGCTAGCACCTATTGCACTTCGACTTGTGTCCCATCGGTCACTTAAAGCTATTAATAACAGCAACCCTTATCAAATGCGCCTGACTCTAAACGGGCGAACGTATTAGACAAAGACATGACAAATACTCAAATTGGCTCACGCGTCTTAATTATAAATCAGTTTATATCGTCGCGCCTACAATGCTGTCGAAAAAAACGTGAAAGAAACTAAAAACTAAAACCAAAAAAAAATTGTATTATTAAAACAATTAAAAATATTGTGGAAGCAACTTTCGCCTTTGCAACAATTCACACATTTTGAATGTTAATTGCAAAAACCTTTTTGTCTTAATTAAACTCGGTCAGCAATTTTAAATAAAAAAAATATTATAAACAAAAACACTAACTTTCACTAAGTTAAATGAAAAATATTTTACAAAAATATTTTGCTAGAAACATCTATTGCAATCTATTGCTGGCATCTAATGCACTTCGACTTGTGTCCCATCGGTCACTAAAAGCTATTAATGACAGCAACCCTTATCAATCGCGCCTGACTCTAAACGGGCGAACATATTAGACAAAGACATGACAAATACTAAAATTGGCTCACGCGTCTAAATTATAAATCAGTTTATATCGTCGCGCCTACAATGCTTACAAAAAAAAACGTGAAAGAAACTAAAAACTTAAACCTAAAAAATTGTATTATTAAAACAATTAAAAATATTGTGGAAGCAACTTTCGCCTGCGCAACAGCTCACAAATTTTGCATGTCAATTGCTAAAACCTTTTCGTCTTAATTAAAATTTATACAATTTACATACATGCGCAATCATTGTTTTAGATGGAATGGAATGAAAACGGTCAGCCTAAAATAAGAGTAAATTAGTTCTGTATGCCTGTAATTGAGCGAATTTGTTATTTAAAACGGCGCAAAGCGTAAATTGTGTATGTGACCCAAAAGATATTTTATGTGCAAACTGTAAATACTGAATCCACAGAATTGTGGTTCTTGATATTTACAAATTTTTGTTTGCCAAATCTAAAAAAGCATATTTTTGTGATTTTTTTGCGGCGAACCCTATAATATTATTTTCTTAAGTTTAATTACACATTATTATACAACTTTTAAAAAATATTATATTTTTTGTTTAGTTCTTCGACATATAGTTATTTTTAAATATTTCAGAATTACGGTTTAAATTTTACCAAAATCGGAGGACTATATAATATAGCTGCCATAAAAAAAAAATTTATGTTAATTTAACTTTTCTATTTTTTATTTATTTTTTTAATTTTTTTTTTAATTATTAATAATTTGACAGTTTAAATAAAATTTAATTTAAATAACGTTTTTAATTCTATTAAAATCAGAAAACGATATTGTATAGCTTGTCATAGGAACTATCAAATAACTGATCAGCAAATCATCATAGCTTAAATGCTTTTAAGCATATACGCAATAAATCATAATTTTAATGTTTTCAAGAATATTTAATTTTTGAAATAGCTGCAAGGGCATGTGAACTTCGGCTTGCCGAAGTTTGCTTCCTTTCTTGTTGAATTTGAATTTGTAAAAAATTTGATTAATTTTACGGCTTTTCAGGAGAACCGATGAGGATCCTAAAGCCAAAAGCCGAACAACTGAAGGCCTATACAGAATATTTTGTGATAATTATATACCGTGGTGGTGCTGCTAATTTTGCTCTGTGAGGGCTGAGTTGGAATAGAGTTTATTGGCAAAAAACCCCAGCAGCAGAGCACTTCAAACTCGATTGCCAATGCAACCTAGCGAGACAGTCTCAAACTGAGAAAACTCTTGACGATTAATTTTACCATTTTAAATTTCAAGTTAAAAAATAGTTTCGGCATCATTATGAGCAGGATAATATATTGCTTACTACTGTCAGTGCCTCCTCTGAATTTACATTTTCACTGAAAAGTAATGTTAGTCACAATTGAATCCATAAATCTATCATTTCGTTAGTTTGCAATAATCGCTCGCAGGAGAATTGGGT